AGTGAAAAATCGCCCTTCAATTATGATTGGGAGGAGATGGGAGGGCTGCTGGTCCCTTTGATAGCCATAGTGAAAATGGCCATGGAAGTGCAGAGCATGCCAGTAGGATGGAAGATCTTGCAGTGGGCCAATTGCATCCGAGCACATCACCAATAACCTTGTGGGCAATGTTCTTGAAATAATCAAACTTTCAAAGCAGAGTATCTCAGACCAGCTTCAGCTTGTAGGAAGTTGGTGACAAAATGGAGGGCTGATTCTGAGGATGTCCTCAGTAGTACTATAGAAGGAGACTACATGCAATCTATATTTTCTTTTATTTGTGGCTAGTTCTATAAGGACAAATGTACTATGTGTTTTAAATTGAAACAGAATGCCAGAAAATGAATCTAATTCTCTATCAAGAAAACTTGGCAAACTTGGATCTCTTGGTTATAAACATCGATACAGGTAAGAATAAGATAATATTACTATTGTGACTTGAAGCTTTAATTTCAGGATGCATTGATGTGTCTTTTTTCTTTGTTTGTGGAATCTTGAATTTTAGGTATTGTGTGCTGTGATTTTCTATCCCTTTTTTTGAGACAGGCATTATAAGCACAGCTTTAAAAGGGATTTAAGGAACTCATCTCCAGCCTTTTATTAAAATTACAGCTGCAGAGTTTGTAAAAATGAAGGCTGAAATATGCTTTAATGTTTTAAGAGTTCTGTTTATAATGTATGCTTTGCTTGCTGATTCTAATGGCATGTGGTAACTTATTTGAGTCAAGATTTACTCCTGGCAATTTCATGGATATTTTGAAGAGGGTTTTTTTTAAAGCAACTATATGAAAATAAGTTACTATTGCTCTTCAAGGATTTTCTCCCAAATTTTGCTGTCAAAGTTACATCTCTGGAACATCGTGGTATTAACCAATTTCTTGCTACAGTTGTTAAGTGAATCCTTGCCGTTGTTAAATTAGTAATATGATTGTTGTTAGATCGCGCAGGCAGTAAGACACGAGTTGAGTGACAGTCAGCTCTCGGTTTATTGGCAAGGCATCAAGTAAATCCGGACTGGCTCTCTGGGCCAGGGGAGCCCTCTTTTATGGGATTCCCCTGGCTTGTAATCACACAATTCCATTGGCTGGCAAGACCCTGTTGCTAGTTAGCCAACCAGCAACGGGCATGAAA